ATATGTTATAGATAGAAGTCCCTTATATGAAGCACAGTAGGCTAAATTTTTTCCCAATTTGTGGGTTTTCTTTACACTTGGTTGGTGATTTCTTTTGACGTACAAAAACTTTTTTGTAGGATAAGATCCAGTTGTTGATTCTTTGAAGTATTTTCCATGCAGTTTGGGTTTTGTTCATGAACTTGCTGCCTACCCTATGTCTTCAAGATTTAGACCTACATTCTATTTCTAGTAGATTTAACACTTCTGATTTAATATTTCAAACATTGATCCACATTGACTTTAGTTTAGTGCATAGTGATAGACGTGGATCTAGTTTTAGTCTTTGGCATGTGGCGAGCCAGTTTTTCCAGAACCATTTATTAAACAGGTTGTCTTTCTACCAGTAAATATGCTTGGCTGCTTTGTCAAACATAACATGGCTGGGTGTGTTTGTAGTTGTATCTGGCTCTTCTTCTATCTGTTCCATTGATCCTTGGGTCAGATTTTTTTGCCAGTACCATTCTGATTTTATCACAGTAAATTTGTAGTATATTTTCAGGTCAGGGATTGTTTTGCCACCTGCCTTGCCTTTGTTGCCCAGAATTTGCCTTTGCTTGAGGTCTTTTCTGCTTCCAGATGAGTTTTAGGAATGTTTTCTTTAGATGTGTGAGGTACGCCTATGGCATTTTGATCTGTGTTGCATTAAATTTGTATAACGATTTTTGGGAGTATGGCTATTTTCACAATGTTGGTTCTTCCTCTCCAGGAGCAAGAAAACTTTTTGTTTGCTAGTATCTGATTAAGGATTTTTGCATCTACTTTCATTAAGAAGACTGGCCTATAGTTTTCTTTTTGATTGGGTCTTTCTCTGATTTTGGAATCAGGGTAGAACTTGCCTCCAGGAATGAGTTAGGGAGAATTGCTTCCCTTTCAAATTCATTAAAGAGGATAAAGTGTATTCACACTAAATCTTCTCTGAATTTCTTGTAGAATTCAGTTGTGAATCTATCAGGACCTGGGATTTCTTTGTTGGTATGTTTTTAATTACATTTTCAATTCTATTAACTGGTATTGGATTATTCAGAATTTTTATATCTCCTTGATTCAGCTTTGGTAATTCATGTTTCTATGAATCTGTTCATTTCTTCTGTGTTTTTTGTCTTATTCAAGTAAGAAATTTTTAATAAGGTATTGATGATCTTCTGAATTTCCATAGAATCTGTATTGGTTTCACAATTTAATTCCTTGTTACATGAATTTATGTTTTTAATTTCCTTTTTTGTTAAGGTTGGCTGGGGTATATCAATTTTATTTATTATCTCAAGAACCAATTCTTCACTAATTCTTTGTATTGTTTTCGTAGTGTCACTTTGTGTTCATTTCTGCTCGGAAACTTATCATTTCCTGCCTTCCCTGGGCTTTGGGCTTGACTTGCTCTTCTTTTTCTAGGAGCCTGAGGCGCAGCATAAGATTATTTACTTGTTCTCATTCTGTCTTCCTGGTGTGAGAGTTCAGTGCTATGAATTTCCCTCTGAACACTGCTTCCACTGCATCTCTCATTTCTGATAGTGCATTGTTATCGCTTCCTTTTGAATTTTTCCCCTATCAAATATGTTGTGACCATCTTTATCTCTTTTGATCATTGTTGACTTGCCATTCACATTGACTGCAAACAGAAGAGCTACCCCTGCTGCTTTCTGAGTTCCTGTTTGCTGGAGTACATTCTTTGTTTTCCATTCTTTGAACTTCAGTCTATTAATTACCTTTTGAGTTAAACGTGCTTCTTGTATAGAGCATAGTTTTTTATTTTATTTCTTGATCCACTCTGCCAAACTGTTTCTTTTGTTTGGTGAATTGAGACCATTTACATTGATGGCTATAGCTAATATATATTGGCTTATCTTGGTGATGTTATTTTCCTGGTGTTGGTTCCCTACTCTTCCCCTCCATTCAATTGCTTTCCATGCAATACAATTTGTGTCTAGTTGTCCCCCCCAAAGCCTCATGCAGTCATGGTGTGGCTTCTGGAGTTTGTGATTGATTATTGTGGGTGTGGGTGCTGAACCTGCTCTGGGGCAGGTAATCTGCATTACAATGTAAGGAAGGGAGAGAGGCTAGCTAGCTGCCTGAGCTGCTGCCACTCCTTTCTTGCTCTTTGCCTCTGCCATGAAAGGCTGCTCTCTGTCATGTGCCACTCTGCCTTGGAGCCAGCCAAGTATGAACTGAAACCTCCACAAACTGTGAGCTAAATAAGCCTTTCCTTCCTTCATTTGGGGTGTTGGGTATTTGTCCCATCAATGAGAAAAAGTAGCTGAGACACCCTGCTTGGTGTTTTCTTTCCAATGTTCTTAGAATTGTGATCTTTTTTATCTCTTTCTAGAATATCTTTCAGTACTCTTTGTGGGTTGGTTGGGAGATCATAAATTCCTTCAGTTGTTCTTTGTCATGGAAGTATTTTATTTCCCCATTAATTTTGGAAGAGAGTTTTGCAAGATACATCAATCTCAATTGGAAGTTTTTTTCTTTCAGGACTTGAAATACTGCACTCCAAGCTCTTCTTGACTTGATGGTTGTGTTGAGAAATTTGCTGTGATTATGATTGGCTTTTCTTTACAGGTGATCTGTTGTATTTCTGTAACAGCTTTTAGTAGTCTGTTCTTGTGTTTATTTTCTGGGATCTTGAGTAGTATATGTCTGGGTTATGGATAATTGGAGCTCTATATGCCTCACTTTTCTGTATGTCAAATTCCCATGCTTGTGAAATTTTCAGCTATTTCTATTGTAAATAGCCTGTTTATGTTATTCATGTTTTCATTGACAGCTGTCAGTCTTGTATTGTTTTTCTTTGCATCATCTTGCAGCTGTTGAATTATTTGGTGGTTGCTTATTATATTTAAGACATATTTCCTTTCATGATGGCTAGCTGCAATCCTGTCTTCAAGATCTGAAAATCTATCTTCATTTTCACACACATGCCAGCTTTCAATGGAATTTTTAATTTCTTAGATATTTCTTTGAATCTGTTTCACGTTAATTTTTTCCTATATTTTTTGTTCAGGGTTTTCATCATTTTCATATGACTCACCAAGCTCACCTTAAGGTATACTCACCACGTGCACACACCATGGAGAATCTTCCCAAGGTTTACACCCAGTGTGGGAGGGTAGGAAGAGGGTCAGAGTCTACCTAAGGGCCACTTCTTCTGCCAAAATGGTTCACTTTGGAGCATCAAGCTTTCCTCCTCCTCAGACACTGATTCAACCATGGACTCCAACTCCAGCTTCAATGTCATAAAGAAAAAGTGGCTCCCACAGTTTGCACTGTAGGAATCAAACATCACACTTTAGACAGTCTTGTTCTCAGCAGTCGTTCAGCAAGTGAGTGGCCATCTTGATCATGGGAGTGTGTTGTGAGGATGGTGAGCTGGCATGTACAGTGGCAGAGGTAGGTGCTCACTAAATGGGAGTGGTGGGAGCAGAGGCTCCCAACAGCAGCATCAACTGTGAAGAAGGCTGGCACATTCCAGTCATAATAGGCATATTCCAGTCATGGCTGGGAATAGAGCTTCAAGTACAATGCCCAGTCATAGGAGGGGCTGAGGAATTTTGAGTTTCCTACACAGAGTGGAAACACAGAGACTTAGGCCTGAAGCTCAGTAGGTTAATTGATCCAAAACTGCGGTCAGGATCACCAAGGACCAAAGCCAAAACTTGCTTCCTAGCCCAGGTCACAGAGATTCCCAGATCTCCTTAATCTCAGTCCTTATCCTCATAGGTGAGGCAGCTTTCTGCTGTCTGTATTACATGCTCCTAAGGGCTGTAGTGGATCCAGCTTTTTTGTTACTCAATTTCATTGCTGTGTTTCTACTGTGTACTACTGTATATGCACTGAATGAAGGAACAAAGACCTCCAGATCATGGGTAGACTTGAGACCTGCAAATAGGACGGGGAACCAGATTACCTGCGGTTGCAGAGTCTGTGTGAAGATTAAAATCTCCAAGGACTGTTTGCAGTTTACTTCAGTCTCAGGCAGGAGCATGGACCAGATGACCTCATATGAATTCTAAAGCACCAGCGCCCAGCATCCTTCAGTGCAGAGGCTCTTATTATTTCTAGCATTTGAAAAACAATTGTGAATGTCACCAGTTGAAAGATGTTTCCTTGGTAGCCACTGACTGTAAAATAAATAAATAAATAAATAATGCTCAAGCCTGCAGGCAAAAGTGCTTGTTGAATTTATCCATCTTAGAAATTAATTCGTGTTTTCTTTGCATTAACAGTATTTTTCTATATTGTTTGTTTTCATTCTCATTTTTTTTCTTTTTTAATTTCTTTTTATCTAATTTTAATGAGAAAGGAATAGCATTGAGACAGTTTCAAAACAGGGTAGTAGGACAGTCACAATTATTAATACATTGCATATTGTTGTCTTCATAGTTGTTAGAGTACAAAATGCAGACGTGATGTCTTGTCTAAACACTATTAGTACAAATCTTTCTTCTCATTGAACTAGGAGGAAATAGCTGCATATCTATCCTAACTATTTTCTTTATAAAGGTATATTATTTTTTCACTGCAAAATGGTCCTTCATTTGTATTCCCATTTTTTTGTTCTTTTATCGTAACTTTAGTCTTAGATATGCAAGATAATTTATTAATGTATTCATTTTGGTTCTTCTCAAACTTGGGTAGCTTTTGACCATTCAGGGCTCTGTAAGTCCCTAGTAACTACCTCTACTAACTAGTCAGTTAAGGATTAACTAGTCCTAAGTAACTGACTCTACTAACTGGCTGGTTAAGTGAAAGTAGATGATGGCTCAGGCTCTTGTTTTCTGTAGCTACAATAACTACCATCTGCCTTACAGTGTACCATAAAGACAAAATGAAACAAAGCGTGAGGCACATGGCGGTAGAGTCCAGTGAGTGCCGCCGCGTCATCCCAGCTACCGCTTTGCTCTCTCTGTCCATGTAGGAAGCCAGGCTAGGAGTGTCTTACTCTCCTTCTTCCTTCCCTTCAGGTTCTTGATTGTCCTGGGGTGCTTGATCCTGGCCGTCCTGACCACCTTCAAGGAGTACGAGACCGTCTCAGGGGACTGGCTTCTGTTGCTGGTGAGCCGCTTGCACTGTGTCCTCTGGCCCACCCCTCTGGTGGGACTTCCCCAGGGTGAGAATGGCAGGGACCCTAGGAATGGTTTGAAGTCCCTGTTTGTGGCTTCCTAGAGTGTCCAAGTCCAGCTCCAAGAAAATGCCACACCTTCCCAATTCAGGGATGCCTAGATGGGCACTGTGATGCCTAGATGGTATTCTTGGTAAGGATTTGTAGTCCAGATTAAGGATAAAGGGTATATGCAAGCCAAAGCAAAAGCCATTATATATTACTACATTATGAAGTACTGTGAAATCCTCTGAAAGTTAACCAAAGGACATCCTCCATCCTATAAACTGCCTCTGCTTAGTTTTTTCAAAACATGCATTGAGGGTTGTGAAATACTTGGGGTATTACCTGGCCATGTTTCTGGTTTATTTTATTTATTTATTTACTTATTTATTTATTTATTTTGCATTTTAGAGAAGGGTCTCCAGGGTGTTCAGGGTCTCTCTACTAGATCAGACTCCTAGTGATCCACCTGCTTACAATCTCCCAAGAGCTGGGATTACTAGGCATGCATTACCACACCCAGTCTCATTTCTGTCTCAGTGTGCCCCGGGAGCAGGACCGGCACAGCAGGCCCAGGGATCGAACCCCCAGCCCCTGCACCTGCTTGCAGGTGCTTTAATCCACTGAGCTATTTGGTCGGTCCCGTGTTTCTGGTTTAGAAACCATTGGTCACGTTTAGGAAAACCAGGGCCAGCACTGAGTGGAATTAGTAGATCAAGGTTTGGTTTTGTTTTTAAATAGCAACTTCACTTTTTAGGGGCTTTTAATACAGTCGAGGGACTTTTTTCTTTTAATCAAATGATTCACTGGAACAAAAACATAAAAAAAAAGAAGGAGGAATCACTTTGCAAGGCCTAGTGGTGTAGGGACCATTAGCACAGCTGAATAAAGAAGAAAACTCTCCATGGCTGGATGCAAGTGACCAGCCGTGCCTTCCACCCATAGCCCAGTCCAAACCAACAGCACTGCACTTCAGATTGTCACAAAACTCTTTGGTCCCAACAACTGGGCCACTTAATCACCTTCTCCCCATGCTTTGCCACACAGGAAACATTTGCTATTTTCATCTTTGGAGCCGAGTTTGCTTTGAGGATCTGGGCTGCCGGATGTTGCTGCCGGTACAAAGGCTGGCGGGGACGCCTGAAGTTTGCCAGGAAGCCCCTGTGCATGCTGGGTAAGCCATGCCCCCTCACCCAGTGGTCACATCCATGCCCTCTGTATTGCATCATTTCTTGGAGGAAGGGCTTCTGCAGCTGTTCAGGGAGGTCACAGAGCACTGTAGAGGCAGGCCCAGCTCTTGACCTGCCCTTCTGTGGAGGAGCAGCCCTGTGTTTGTCAGCTTCTGGCACCTTCTGGCAGCTTCAAGCAGGAAAAGTTTAGTCTGATTCATGCGTCAGCCCTTGGCTGGCTGAACGCAAGGTAGCAGCCTCACCATAGATAGGTGCAGCAGAGGAAAGGTGCTTGATTCATGACAGCTGGTAGAGCAGGGGAGCAAAGCTAGAGAGGAGCAGACTTTGGACCAAAATAGTACCCAAAGCCATTTCTCCATGACCCACCTAGACCTACCTGGAAGTGTGCTCTAATAATCTACTAAGCGCTTATTAGTCTAGTGAAGCTGGCATACCAGGATTAATTATCATAAGCACTAAAACACACACACACACACACACACACACACACACACACACACACACAAAATTGCTACAAGATCCCAATTATGAAAGGAATTGAAAAAAGCAAAACTGAAAATACAGCAAGTAACACCAAAAAAGAAGCTAGACATGATGGCTTGTGCCTTGAGGAAAGGAGGCACAGTGGGGAGCCTGGAGCCCTTGTACTGTGGGCCATTTGAGACAGTGGAGATGCTTCCATGGGGAGGTGTCTGTCCTGTAGGCCTCCAAGTTCTATACACTAGAGGACAAGAACCTTTTAAACTTGGGTCCAACTCATCATTAACTGCAAGAGAGAGAGAGAGAGAGAGAGAGAGAGAGAGAGAGAGAGACTCAAACAGATAGATACACACAGATATACATGCACACTGTCAGACACATTCTCTCTGTGTGTCTCTCTCTGTCTCTGTCTGTCTGTCTGTCTGTCTGTCTGTCTGTCTCTCTCTCTCTCTCTCTCTCTCTCTTTCTCTCTCTCTCTCTCTTCCCCTCTTTCTCTGACAAGCCAGCATCAGCAGATCTTTCTAAAGGAGAAAAACAAGTCTGCTTTAATAAAAATACACTTGCAGTACACATAGAAAGGAGACAAAAGAAAGAGAAAAGAAATACAGAAAATGGGTAAAAGATGGGAGAAGAAAAAGAGTACTAAATTCCCTCTACAACTGTGCTGTCACAGCTAAATCTTGGAAACAACCCCAATGCCCATCACCTGAGGAATGGATAAAGAAGACGTGGTATTGTTATACAATGGAGCATTACTCAGCTATTAAAAAAAAGTTAAACTTGATGCTTTCATAGGTAAATGGGTGCAACTAGCGACCATACTCATAAGTGAAAAGAATCTGACCCACATGTGTAAACACTGTATTCTCTTGCTGGAGTCAGAACCCGAAAGAGTAAGTAAAATCTGAAATGTACAATAGATACTCTGAGAGGGAAAGAATCTGTTCTAAGGGAAGGAACAGTGGGGATGAGGAAAAGTACAGGAGAGAGGGAGGGAAAAGGTATATATTTGTGCATGCATGCAAGATGGCTCGGATAATGGCACTGTTCGTTTCTGCTAGTCTAAAGAGGAGGGCAGTTGACCCTTGAATTTTTGTTCTTGTCTTTTTTAATTTCTTACAACTTTTTTCCAATTTTGCATGCTTATATCTAGTAATCTGAGCAACTAACTTGAAGACAGCATTATGCAATATAGCAACCACTGTCAAATTTCTATAGTTTTGTTTGGGGAAGTTCTGTATTGTTTCTCACGTGTTTGGTGGAGTTTTTCTATTTTCTATTCTTTTTAGATAATAAAAAAATGCTTTAAAAAAAAGCCCTGAGCTGTCACACCCATCCTTCTTTTCTGCTGTCATTCACTGCATCCACCCTCGCATCTCAGCTTCTTTCATAATGAGCCACTGTGTCAATGCTAGTTTTTTTGGTGTCTTTGACAAGAGGTGGTGATCATGCCTCAGCTCCTGCCACTTTATTTTTATTTTATTGATTGATTGATTGATTTTAGGGAAGGGTCTACAGGGTGTTCAGGGTCTCACTACTAGATAGGACTCATAGTGATCCGCCTGTTTACAGCCTCCCTAGAGCTGGGATTACAGGCACTCACCACCACAACCAGTCTTAACTGCCCTCTCAGTGGGCCCTGAGGGGGGAGCTGGCACAGCAGTCTGGGGATTGAACCCCTGGCCTCTGGGCCTGCTTGCAGGTGCTTTAATCCTCTGAGCTATTTGGTGGGCCAGCCCCTGCCACTTTAGATCCGGGTGTGTCCTTTAGGACCAGATGTAGCATCCTCACAGAGCGCCGTAGCCCTAGCATTTATTGTGCATCTGCATGTTGATTGGGTTCTTTTGTTCTAATGACACTGCAAGTAGAAAGCTTTGTGTAGATAATCTAAGAAGCCTGTCTAGTGCAACAGACTGATCAGGACAGACATGTTTGATGTGTTGGTTTTCGCAGAGGTCAGGCATGCCTCATGCCTTGGGGACACCTGGATAAAGCAGCAAAGTCTTAAAAAAAAAGAGAGAAAAAAAAGAAAGAAAGAAAGCTAGAGTGAAATGAATGCTTTCCACACTGAGAGACAAAATGTATCAACATGTGGGGTGTGAGGGTGCACAATGAACTCAGCAAACCACCTATGCTTCCAGAAGCTTCTCGGGAGCCCAGTGCCTATGGGAGCTCCCAGAACATTCCCTTATGTGTGCTCCTTAGACCCACTATGCTCTTGCAGGAACTATTTCTGTAATCAAAAACTTTTGGGCACTTTCTTTTTCTTTCCCACAAGTTTGCTGCCAGAACACAGATGCTATGAAAACCACCCCCAAATCAAAGCCACAGTGGGAGAGGAAAAGACTCTTCCCAACATCAATATCACTGGGCTTACTGTTTAGGGTGGAGCCACCACTACTGGCCATGGGACCTGCAAATGTCAATGAAAGTTGACATTGAAACGTCCATAGGCAAAGTCAATGAAAATTTCATAGGCAAATTTGAGGGAGAGGCTGCTGAGATGGACGAAGTTTCCTGGGCTTCGGGTAGCTGAATACACCTGCGGTGTTACCACTAACATCTTCCTGTAGAAACTGACAGAACAAAAATTAAGTATCATTGATTCCCCAGGACACAGAGACTTTATCAAAAATAGAATTGCAAGCATGTGTAGGGTTGACTTGGGCTTTCCTGATGGTTGCTACTAGGGTCGGCGAACTTGAAACTAGTATTCATAAGAATGTTCCGCCCTGTGGGCGTGGCCTTCTAGCTTACACACTGGATGTGAGACAAATAATTGGTGGTGTTTGCAAAATTGATGTCACAGAGTGATTGTACAGTATAAGAAACACAAATAAATAATTCAAGAATTAGCATCTACCCTAAGAAAATTAGCCAGAGCTCTGACACAGTAGCCTGTGTGCCAGTTTCTTGGTGGGATGGTGACAGCATGCTGCAGCTGAGTGCTGGCATCCCTTGGTTGTGGGGATGAATGTCACAGGTAACGATGTCAACTCCAATGGAAGCACACTGCTTGGAGCTTTGGATCGTGCCCTACCAGCAGCTCACCCAGCTGGCAAGCCTGTGCAGGATGTCTGCAGTGGCAGTGGTACAGGTGCCAGCTCTGTGGGCCCAGTGGAGCCTGGTGCTCTAAAGCCTGGCAAGATCATCACTTTTTCCCCAGTCAGTGTCACAGCTGAAGCAAAATCTGTGGAGCTTCACTAGGAATCTCCAAGTGAAACACTTCCTGGAGACACTGGGGGCTCTAATGGCAAGAACATGTCGCTCAGAGATGTTTATCAGGGCAACACTCCTTGTGACAGAAAAAATGTCCCAGCAGTGAGAGCCGCTGACTTCGCTACCAGAGGAACCATTCAGGCCAAGTCAGTGCTGGCTCTGCCTTGTCAGGAAATGTCAAAGAGCTCACACAGCTTGCAAGTCTACTTAACTGAAAGGAAAGATGATGGCCATTCTAGTAAGAAGTGGGAAGATGGAGTTCACCCAAGTGTGGGTCCGCAATTGAGAGAAAAGACTGATCCACCTTCCAGGTAGATTATCCTGGGAAATGTTCTCCAGTTCGAAGAACCCAACACAGATCTTGAATACAGATCCTTCTTTACTCTTTTTGTCTGCTTGTTTCCTTTGTTTGGATTTTCTGCCCTGTCTCTTGTCTCTCTCCCTTCACCTATGCTTTCTGGCATCATCAACCAATAAATTACCTGCAGGAAAGTTCCAGTCTCAGGTGATGCTTTTGGAGAAACCTATATTAAAGCCTTCTGAGCATTAGGCTTCACCTTTGTAGTCTGGACAGTCCTGGCCCCTGGATTCGTTGTTAATCTGGGAGTGAATCTCATCTAGTATACTAGGACACTTGAGAAGTCACAGCTCTGGGGTCAAGAACCTATGTTGGAGCACAACAGACCTGTGCCCAGTCCCACCTCCTCTACTTCTGGCTCTGTCGCCTGAGGAAGGCAAAATTCAGGGATCCTGTCTCATCAGCCCCCTTGAAATAACCCCATTATCCTGTATGATCCAACCCAGCCATTCTCAGATTGCTCCCTTCTTGGCACAGTCATCTGCCACCTAAGACAATGCCATTGCCTTCAGATGAAATTCCTCCCCTTATTCTTTGCTACTCTCTCTCCTTCCCCAGACATCTTCGTGCTGATTGCCTCTGTGCCCGTAGTTGCTGTGGGAAACCAGGGCAATGTCCTGGCCACGTCCCTGCGAAGCCTGCGCTTCCTACAGATCCTGCGCATGCTGCGGATGGATAGGAGGGGTGGCACCTGGAAGCTCCTGGGCTCAGCCATCTGCGCTCATAGCAAGGTAAGTGACCTCAAGAAGCCTGCAGAATGTGGGGGCCTCACATATATGTGTCCTTTTATGACCTCCCTTCCCTTACTGCATCTCCAAGGCCAGCCATTCTGCCAACATTGATAATGATGACAATGAGGAGGCACAGGAAGCGGGAGAGCGGCATGTGTAAGAGTGATGCAAAGAAGCAGGTGCCCCTGGGCTTGGTCTCAGCTCCACCATATGCAAATTACCTTATCCAAATCACTCACCTAGATTTGTCCCTTAGTCTCCTTACTTCCATCTAGGGATGATAATGCCTGTAGAGTTGAGAGGATGAGGTGGGCTTGTGCAAGGCAGCATGAGGCAGGAGGGAAAGGTTTGATGGATTGCTGTGAATCTAAGACCTACCCTGTGTGATGCTGGGGATCGTTCTTCTAGGTGCTTTGGATCGTCGGGTCACAAGTCCTACATTTAGTAGGTGAGGCTGCCAATCCCTTCTAGCATTGGTACGAGGAAGCAAATTGGTCCATGCGGAACATTCCAGCTCTTAGAAATCAGTTGGCTGCTGTGGTTACCTAAAGACTCAAGCACAATTAGGATTTTAGGGTTTAATATGGACTTGCTCACCAGGCACTGTTGCTGCTGTTTTTACCCAGAGAAGGAATCAGATGCAGAGGGAGGAAGGAACTTCCCCAAAGTCACACAATAAGACATCAACATAGGCGCTGCAGACCCTGAGCCCGTTTCCAATGGTTTGCCCTGGCCAAACTGGTATTTACACAATGGAATAACTATCTCTGGCAAAACTAACCAAAAAAAGGGGATATAAATGCAGGACCATTTTATAGTGGAGATATATATATATATATATATCAGTTAGGATAGATATACAGCTAGTTTCTTAAGAGAACTAAGGTTCAATGAGAAGAAACATTTATACTATTAGTGTTCAGACAAGATATCAAGTCGGATCTTGTTCTATGAATAGCTACTATGAAGATAACAATATGCAATGTATTAATTATTGTGACTGTCCTATTAATTAATTTGAAACTATCTCATTGCTATTTCTTTCTCAATAAAATTAATTTTTAAAAACCTGTTGTTTAGCTCTCAGAGAGAGGCCAGGAATTAGAGATGGATTCAGCTGAGTCTCTTTCTAGACTTCCAGGCTGAGTAGGCATAGACACCAGATGACTGGAATCCTGTGTGCCTGGATTTGATCACCTTCCTGTTTTCTTTCTCTGACTAACCCAACCCTTTAGAACACATTGGTTTGACCTAGCCGCTTTAGCCATTCTTCTGAAGAATGGCAGAAAGCCTCTGTGTCTTATCTCAGGCAACAAATGTCCCCGTGCTACAAATGCCCCAGTACAGGAGAAAGGACAGGAAGGAAGCCCAGGACAGGTATTTTCCAGGATATTAAAATCAAGTCTGTCTCCCTTACTAAGAGTCTCTTCTTGTACCAGTTATGATAGGCACCCCTTTACTGGAAGCCAGTGACTTCATAGATCTAGAAGCCTGACCATGTCGTAAGTCTATGTCATAAGTTTACAATTTAAGTGATTATCAATAACAACTTACAAATAAACCACATGTTCCTAGGTCCCTGTCTGAGGCTCTGCTTTTGGGCACCTGGACAGGAGAAGCCAAGCTCCTTAGGTAATTCAAAGATTCTTTTTGAGGTTTGACATCACCAGGCCACCTCCAGCTGGACAGCCCCAGAACACACTCACGTACTCCTGCTCCTTACATTTCAGCTATGCACCTGGATATATGGGGGATATTTCCTAGGAGGTGACATCTTACAGTGGAATATACAGAGTGTAGGGATCAGATGGACACTGTATCTAGAATTCAGCTCTACCACTTTCCAATTTAAGACTTTAAGGATGCCATTCTCAGGCCAGTCAGATAGCTCAGCAGATTAAAGCACCTGCTTAGGCACACACAGGGGCCAGGGGTTCCATCCCCAGCTTGCCGCACCTACCCAACCCACAGGGCACACTAAGATGGCAATTGAGAATGGGCTTGGTGGCACATGCCTGTAATCCCAGTGCTGGGGAGGCTGAAAACAAGAGGATCGCTAGGGTCCTATCTGTGTAGTGAGATCCTGTAGACCCTGTTCTAAATACATTTTTTTAAAAAGCCATTTGCATTTAATGAGCTTCCTGGTAGTAAAATATGAATCTCCCCCCCCCCGCAGCTATTAATGTATGAAAAGGTAGGGTTTAAAGGTTGGCGAGGAGTAGAAGCTTGCTAATGGGAGAATTTATTATTCTAAATATACTTTTTTTCATAGACCTCAGAACTAAATAGCATTTGTGCATTGCTTGTTGGTGGACACACATGCTCAGAAATGTCCCACTAGGTGATTTTTCACTGTGTGAACATCATGGCTTGTACTTAGAAGGAGACTGTGACATCAGTGTGCAATAGAATCTGACAGAATTAATGTCATACATGCGGTCCCTTCTGTACGGAAACATCATTATGCAGCACACAACTATTAAAATTAAATGAATTAAAGTCTGAAATACCTGGAAATCTTTCACCTTAGAAGCAATTTCTTGCCATAACTGTTTTATGCTCCTGTCCTGCTACTTCTGGCCTCAGAATCAGCCAGAGCCATTTCTCTGAGTTCTTCCTTCCTGCACAGTCCCCTCAGCCCCCTACTGGAAGACAGGCTCCCAGCATCCTCCCAGCTTCAGCTTCAGCCTCAGCCTCGTGTTCAGGAAGTGGAGCTGATTCATAGCTCTGGTGGAAATCACACTAAAAATGGCTTCTTTAGTCCTTGTACTTTTTCCTTCAGACTAAAGTAGATCCCAGTATCTGCTGTCCACTATGTAATTATCAGCAAACATAGGGCCTTTGTGAGGAAATTCCTGAGGTAAAACAGCCTCACATTGTAGCCAAGTCCCAAAACCAAGGCCGGGCCGCTTCCCAGGGTGGGGAAGGCAGAGCTGATCACAGACATAGTTTACTGAGATCTTGCTCTACTCCAAAGGGCAGATTGTGAGCCCTAGTGCTTCCCCGCTGCCAGAAATGAGAGGAGGCTCTTCCCGGGGGAGCGACAAGGAACCTGGTGAACAAGCCCAGCATTCCCTCATTTCTTCATCTATTGCTTATATGTCAGACTGAGTTCTGTGCTTTACTCTGCAGGACACTCAGAGATAAACATTAGGAGCTCTGTGCCAGATGTTTAAAGTTGATGGAATAGACCTGGCTCTGCTCCCAGAACAAATAAGCCCTGCCATTTGGGCTACCTAGAATGCCCCTCTCCTTCAGTCCTGATGTGTGCTGAATCAGCCTCAGCTCTGTTCCAAAGGAGGCCCAAGTCACCTCAGCAAGCACATCTGCAGGATGTACTTATGGGACAAGAAGAAGGGCTGTGCTGCTGTCGCGCTGCCTTATTGCCTGGGCACCAGTCTCTTAGCCCCAGCCAGCCTTGGCATATGAAGGAGAGCCAGTTCTGCCACAGAGCTACGAACAAAAATTGTGTAGAGTCAAAATTACGTTGGATAACATTCTGAATGACTGCAAAGCACAGAATGGGGCCCCATTTCCACTCCTCATTGATGGCCATTATGCCGGCTAAGGCGGTGGAGCCGGCTTCTTCTGTGCACATGTGGATGGAGGGATGTTTCTTTAGTTAGGCACCAGACAAAGCTTCTGCCTTGCATTTGGGAGCCAGAGTTCACGCGAACATACATCTCAGGCCTGCATTCTGCAAAGCAGGAGGCTCCCACTCAGACAGCCACTGGGGAGAAGAATTCACTCACCTTTCCTCTCGCAGCCTCCTCCCTAAGGAAAGCTGCTGGCTGGCTTCCCAAGATGATTTAGCCTTGCTCTGTGCTACGGCACGAACTCACCCCAGTGAGTGCAGTGTGTATTGGCGCTGTAGGTGAGCCCAGGCCCATGAGCAGTCAAGCACCATTCGGAAGTGCTGGAGATGCTGACTGGAAAATAGTGAAAGTGTGAACGAACTTTCTAATTGCAGGAGCAAACATTGCAGAGAATTCGCAGCGAAGGTGACGTGAGTCTGAGGAGGGTTGCAGGTCTGCAGCGGCCCCAGCTACAGGGGAGGGCCGGTGTTGTCACTGTCTCATCCGTGGGAGTCTCACGTCCCAGAGGGCAGCTGGCTGGCTGCAGATGCTCAGCCGTGCTGAGGACCCCAGCAGGACCTCGGCTGCTCTCTGGGACAACTCATCGCGAGCAGCAGGCCCCACCTCCAGACTGTGCTCACCACTAATCTTGACCTTCGTCCCACTTCCCCTACCAGGCCTAGGACATCAGGGGTGAATAAGAAGTAGTGAGAGCAGCTGGTGAGACCAGTAGGGATTGTCTCCATTAGGCTGTTTGAAACTTCTGTTTCACTAATCTTTATTTTTCTTATTAACTTTTTCCTTTAAGTCAACTTGCTTTGGGCCGGCCAAATAGCTCAGTGGATTAAAGCAATTGCAAGCAGGTGCAGGGGTCAGAGGTTCCATCCCCAGGCCTGCCATGCTGCCCGCCCCTGGTGATTGAGACTGGGTGTGGTGGTGTGCGCCTGTAATTCCAGCTCTTGGGAGGCTGTAAACAGGCGGATCACTGAGTCTGGTCTAGTAGTGAGACCCTGAACACCCTGTAGACCCTTCCCTAAAATCCAAAATAAATAAATAAATAAACAAATAAATAAAATCCTTGCTTTTGTTTACCTACCCATTTTCCCAGTTTAGCACAAGAAATTCCATGTTTTATGTGTCTCGTATGTTCTACATTAATGCAGAACCATCTAACAGAAATACTTAGTATCTGTGACATTTTCAAGTCTCTTGTGGTCCAGTCTCTTCATTTGAAAATGAGGATGCTCAGGTTGGAGAGGAAAAGATCATTTGTCCTAGGTCACCAAATTGGTGGCATGACTGGGTTCTGCTCTCTCTCTTTCTCTCTCTCTCTCTCTGTCTCTGTCTCTCTCTGTCTGTCTCTCTGTCTGTCTGTCTCTCTCTCTCTCTCTCCCCCCTCTCCATCAGTTGGGGAGCCAGCAGAGAACCAAGACTCCTGAGGCTCACATTCTATCTCAGCTGTAGTGGCCAGTCGCTCCTGCCCTGTCCTCTTCCCATGAAGCTTCTTGAACTGTGATATCACAATCTCCCTGAAAAAAGTCATCCTCTCCTCCCAGGTCCACTTGTTTGTCCCTTAGTGTTGGAAATAATGCCATGGTGCCATTCTTATTTTATACCTATGGAAATTGAGAGTGTAGAAAAGCGTGTCATTAGGGCCTCTGGCTCAGCATGCACCCGATGTCACTTCTCAGTGACCACTTCCATCACCCACTGCTGACTCTTGCAGGAACTCATCACTGCCTGGTACATCGGCTTCCTGACGCTCATCCTGTCCTCGTTTCTTGTCTACTTGGTTGAGAAAGATGTGCCAGAAGTGGATGCACAAGGAGAGGAGATGAAAGAGGAGTTTGAGACCTACGCAGATGCCCTTTGGTGGGGCCTGGTAAGTCACCTGGAAGGTGACCATATGGCATGAGGACTGGCTCTGAGAAACAGAGAGGGGGAGGGCATGGGATGGACCCGATCCTGTGGGCAGCTGTGCTCTGAGATCAGAGCTGAACCACCTCTTCTGCCTCTGAGCCTAAGGACAGGACACTCCCACCCCAGGGCACCCACCCAGAGTGGACTTTCTCACAGTGCTTATATGCAGATAGGGCTGGCGGCGGTGTGGCTGCATGGCCTCTTAGGGACTTCACCCTGTTAGCCAGAGGCCATTATCAGCCAGGCCTTGAATGTGAAAACATGGGGCAGATACAGATGCATGCAGATCAGATAACACAGGTCTGTCACAGCCCCACATCCATAGGGTACTACAGGTGTCATTTATTAAGTCTCATTTTGCTCCAGAGAGCAACGCTGGGGCTATTCCATTATCTAACATACTTTAAACTCGAACTCCTTTGGAAAAATGGGGAAACCGAGGCATGAAAATTTGAGTAATGAATTTAAGGTTTCTCCGCTATGAGAGTTTGTCCTGTTATTTTAAAGTGGATCCGGGGGCTCCAGAATACACAGTGTTACCTGCTCTCTGTCTTGTTCTCCACAGGCAGGTGCGTGTGCATCATCAGTTCGGGGGTACTCATAGCACAAACCTGTGAATGCACAGTGGAATACACTACACACAGCAGAACGGTCACTTGCACGGATTTGCCCATGTCTGTGCATAGTCTATGCAAACACACTCACAAATGTGATTCCTAGAAAAGGCGATACACAGAAGGTCATGCATTCACAAGTACGGTCATCCTCCAGGATCCACAGGAATTGGTTTCAAGGTTCCTCATCCCTTGTGGATAAAAAATCCACAGATGCTCAAATACTTGCTAAAACTAGTATAGATTCTGCACATAACCTACATGCATTCTCCTGTATATTTAAATCATCTCTATATTAGTTATATCTAACAATAGAGACTTATAAATTGTTGGAATATGCATTTATTTATTTGCTTTTTATTGTTATACTGTTATTTTATTGTGGGTTTTTTTTCCTCAATGTTTAAAAAAATATATTTGGTAGAGGGACTCACTATACAGCTCCAACTCATAGTGATCCTCCTGTTTTCAGCCTCCCCAGCGCTGGGATTAGAGGTGTGCACCCCCATGCCTGGACTTGGTTGCTGGCTTAGCATGCCTGGGGGTGGGTCCGGAGCAGCATGGGGTCTCTGTGGTTGCCTAAGCAGGCTCCTAGTCCTCTGAGCTGTCTTGCTGGCCCTCCCAATTACTTTTGATTCACAATTGATTAAATCCAAAGACATGAGATCATAAGTCCAGAGGGCAAACTGCATGTGTACACATGAACACACGCTCACAGTTTATTGAAATTGTTCAGTGGCCGTAGTTAGGAAATCGGTAGCTTAGAAACAGGCTGCTGGCTCCATGTTCCCACATGCATTACTTCATACTGGGTATTTTTCCATCCATGGGAATCTCCTTATAAATGAGAGCAGTAGGGCCAGTGAGATATCTCAGCAGACTAGGCACCTGCTTTGGCAAGTGCAGGGACCAGGATTTGAGTCCCAGTTCTACATGCCTTGCTGGCCCCACCCTGAGGGCATGTCGAGCTGACAGAGGAGTCCAGGTGTGGTGGTGCACGCCTGTAATCCCAGCGCTGGGGAAGCTGAAAACAGAAGAATCACTACAAGTCCCAGCTGCGTAGTGAGACCCTGTACCAGATATATAAATGTGAAAAATAAATAACAAATAAATAAATAAGAGCAGCACCTAAGCAGGTACAGAGGCTCCGAGGTAGAGCTCACTGGTGTCTCCTTCCTGGGATCTCCATACCAGAACTCTTTTCTCCTCAGATCACTCTGGCCACTATCGGCTACGGAGACAAGACCCCCAAAACGTGGGAAGGCCGTCTGATTGCTGCCACCTTCTCGTTAATTGGCGTCTCTTTCTTTGCCCTTCCAGCAGTAAGTACCTTGGATGTATGTCATGTGGGATCCCCTCACTGCCTGAGCCATCGGAAATTTCTAGCCTCAACTGGACATTTGAGCTGTCTGCACCTTAAACTCTAAACTCTTATCAGTTCACCAACTAGTACTTTAATTAAACCTGGCTGTCCTGCCTCTCACAGCTTCTTTCACTTTGCGAGGCACCATTCTGTCAATCATCTACTCCTCTTCTAAGACCTAGTTTCTTTTTTTTTTTTTTCAAGTATTTCATTTATTGTAAATGTTATATACTAAGACCTAGTTTCAATGTTCCTTTTTTTTTTTTTAAAGGCTTAAAATGTACTTTAATAA